ATTTTATCATTAAGATTGTGCGTTTTCTCTGATTTCTGGCCAATGAGTTATGCTCAAATTAATACAAAATAAAAAAAAAAATTATACCTTCTATGGCTGTGCAGATAGATGGTGATCTTGTGATCAAAGATGTTCAAAGTGAGCACACTCCTATTCTTATTGCACTTATTGCCTGTTTAAAAGTCTGAAGCTGAAGCTGCGTCTTTCAGGCAATATCCCCACCAGGAGAATCTAGAAAAAGCAATATTCCTGTATCAGAGTGTACAGATGAACCTGGAATTACATGTATGGGGAGAAAAGTATGAAACCACCTCTTTGATTTTGATGCATGTTTTATTCTGTTTAAGTTGAGGAATATAAGGAAAAACTCATAGTGGATGTGCTGTTTCCTTGTCACCAGTAACAGCTGTAACACAAAATAAAGAGTGTTAAAAGCTACCTAATCTTGGATGTAGGTTAGATGTGTAGATTATAAACTATTTAGCTATACATCATGTTTTCAGATCCCATTAGAGCAAACAAATAATAATTAAACTATTCATCAACTCTCTCTGTGGTATTTTTAGTTTTGGAGTGGTTAAAATATGCTACCCCCAACACAAAACATTGCACATCGCAGATTTAGACAAAAAAACTTTATTGAACAGCACTTTCAAAATATATGACAATTTCTTTAGCTTTGGTATCAACATGTTTTTATTAATCTATACAAGAACTTCACAGCCTCAAACAGTCTGTGAGCTAAAAATGAATTAAAGTGATCGTATGCAGTAGTGAAAAGTACCACACCAGACATTCACTTACAACATAGCACTGATGCACTGATGCACTGCTGTCAGAAACTCCAGTTATCTTTGTTTTGCAAAAGGAAAAGTGTAAAATCAGTTTCCAAAAAATTGAACGAGATGAAAATAAGAACTTTGCAAAGAACATATATACAGAATGGTCAGGGTTTGTTGCCTCTGATAAAGTATTTTGTTGCGTCCTGGGGAGAATTTTTTTTTTGTTGTGGGCGCCAGTTATTTTAGAGAATGTTAAAAAACATTGCGACTTTTGTAAAAGTAAATCACTTTAAATATTACGTGTAGAGGCAGAAATCTTTAACAATGCACTGCTGACTCTGTACCCATGAGGAAAGCACTGCTAATTTCTAGGATGTTTGAAAATCACCCCTTCACATTAAAGGGCCTGTGACCTCAATCCTTTTTAAGGATGACCTGCACTTTGGATAGGACCCACTTCAGCATGCAGTCTACATAGACTCCATATGGGTATACAAAAACACTGCGTGTTTGGGCATTTGAAACCAGAATCTGTGACGTAGTGAGCGGGCGATGGAGCTGTGGCAAAGTCCCACCGATACACATGTGAGTTAGTATCAGTTGTGTATCATTTTGTTTCAAAGTGTATTTATAGCATCAAGTAACTATACAACTAGCACCAAATGTAATGAAATGAGCTCTTGAACATACGTCACTGTGATAACTACCTAAAATGATTTGTTTGTAGCTGTACTTTGACCTATTATTGTGGTCAATGTCCCAACCACTAACATGGAGTCGCAATATAGGACCTATACTGTAACCAGCCACCAGGTTTTTTGGAGGGGAGCAGTCATGTGAAAATGTCAATTTGAAAACCATCAAGAAACTTTCAGGATTTTTACCGACACCAAGTAGCCTATATGTCTCTGTGCTGACCACGGAACATTACCAGATATTGCATATCTCAGACCTCATTTGCATATCAATTGCAACAGTGCACATGCACAGTCTTTATTGAAAGAAGCAACTTGCCAACATGCACCTATTTCTTTGACCTTAAAGTCGCTATCCCTGGAAAAAAATGTGTGATTTCTGCTAGCAATGCTACATATACAACAAAGTACTTTATTAATCCACTTAATTCAAATCTCCTTATGCATTTCAAAGTGATGAATCAAATTAACTTTCAGGGATAAAAGTGTATTTAATTGATGGTTTAAATATGTACTAGTACATTGTCATCACTCCGCCTGCTGTATTTATTTTCATGTATTTCTTTATCATGTCTACTCTAGAAAAGAGTTTAAAAAATGCATTGTAATAGACATCTTTTGTTCTTCCCTCTCACTTTGTAAACACAGTCAAGTCAAAAAATCCATGCCTCTTATCCCTTTGTCCTGCACTGTGAACACATTCCTTTTATGACTTTCATATGATGGAATACCTTCCTGAAAAATAGATATTGCACAAAATGGCAGTCCGGCAGAGCTTTTCCCCAAAATTGAGGCAAGAACATCCTTCACTTCCTCTGCGTTGTGAGACATATGTGCACTTTTTGTCTGCACAGAAACACACCTTCATTCTCTGTAGGTTTACTGCCTGTGATTTCTGCTCATATTGTCCAGAGTCGGAGATTACCCTTTGTTAATGGTCCTTCATCTCTACTAGCTGGGGCAGAGCTGATGCAACAGCTGTGTTAAATCCACTTGGACTGACAGGTTTCTGCTTTCTAAGTCTCGGGTACTACACCCCTCTCATTATCGATGACTTCCTGGCTGACGATGTTGGCTATAACTATGAAAAGTCCCCAATCATCAGCCATCGAAGTGGGCCACTAGTGATACTACGGCAGGCTTGATGTCTGAAGAAGGGGCTTTAGTGATATCGTTTGTGAGTTCAAAGGAAGGGCCCAGTTGGGGCAGTGTGGCAGCTGGCTGTCCAAGGGATGCTACCATAAATAATAACTCGTTGGTGCGACGGGGACCATTGACTGCTACACCCCTCATGGCCTTGGTGGCAACCTTGGAGGAGCTCTTAAAGCTGGAGCTGCGTCGAGGACTCTCACATCGCAGCAGGGCTTGGAAACATCTGTAAAACTGGGGCAAGCAAGCAACACAAAGAAACATGGTCAGAAATGTGCTGTATACTACAGAAATAGTCAGAAGACCACAAAGAATAAAACTGTAAAAACAAGCCAAGAGAAGTAATGGTGGTCAGAGTTGGGTCTTGCATTTTCCAATGCCAAATGAATTTACCTGACAGATCTCTTCTCCTGCCCGCCTCTGCTTCACACAGCACCATTCGGTCACAGGGGTTATTGTGTCTTAATGTTTTTGTTGAACAATAGGCCAAGGGACATTATTTGTAAATGTTAAATGAATTGCCTTTCTATATAGCTTTTCTCTTGTTAATGATCAGAGGGCTTTACACAACAATTGGCACAGACACACACACATTCATACAACACTTTTGTTCTCGGACACAACAATACTACATCATCAGGGGCAGACTGGGGTTCAGTATCTTGCATTCTCAATCTCTTGTGAACATTACTGAATCTTAATGTTGGTGGTATTTGGTTTAGTTACATCTCAATATATTCAAGTTTTCCCCCCTCAATGCTCTCTCGTCATTGATGGGCAGGGTTAAACCAATAAATTGTCCAAAAAGCTGATCTACACTCTGTGTAGCGCCATGATTCTAGCTCCTAAACTCAGCTGAGGATGGTCCTGCCAGACCACAAGACATCTCAGACTGCAATTTATGTGGGAATATCTTGCCTTGCCTTCATCACTGGTATGAAACCTGATTGACTAGTGAACATAGGGTTGTGATTTGTAACATAAGCACTAAATCGCCCTCTCATCAATACAATAACATTTAAACCCAATGACCTGCTCCTCTGAATAGCTGATTTCTTACCAATTTCACATTTGGCCTTTCACCTTTTTACAACTTGTTTGTGTCAGCACTTTCTTCCTTGCTAGAGGGTTTCTGTGAGAGAAATGTGGTCAGCCACAACCTTGCCTTGATAAAGCACAGTGAGCGCTGTGGCCCCTCAAATGCCCCGGTCAATCTCAATGTCTTTCTGTTAGTGTCCTTTAAGTTCATTGACTGCATTACTTGTAAACTATTATCAGCAATGTCCTGGTACTCAATGTGACTGCAGCTAGAAGCCAACTTTTGCAGCCAGTGGAAAAGGAAAAAAGGAAAAGAAGGAAAGGAAAGTGGTGACACCCAGAGCCTTATTCCCTATTCTGCACCTCATGATTTACGTCTTATTGCAAAACTTCAGTGCCAACTCGGTAGATGGGATGCCCTTTATGCAGCCAGGCAGAAAATAAGAGAGTGAAGGTTGTGGTTAGGGAAAGACGTGTGGCACAACTGATTTAATGCAGGATTTAATGCAATCAACATTTGACCTTCTATTAACTTTATGATTTTCTCTAAGCTTTTTATTTGTCAGTCCTTAACCACCATTTATATTTTTGCCTTGTCACAGTCCTTACCTACCTTTTTTTTCCTGACTGCGTCTGTGCAAAGTGGCAGACACAGTGAAAGCTAACAGAACTGAGAGATGAAATGTCTCTGGATTTTTCCATGTACAGTGTGAGCAGTCAGGTTGTGGTTCAGACAGTGTGAGCTTTGGGTTCACAGATGATTTACAGTCAGTTTTTAAAATCATATAGTGTATGCCCAGCTTTACAGTCCAGAATCATAATTCTTGTCAGCTGCAAGGTTCCACCTGTGATCAAAGAACTAGGATTTAACTTTGTACCCTGGTTCACCTTGGCATATTTTAAGCATAATGACAGCTGCTGTGTAACGACTGTGTGTCTGGCTACATTTAATTAACTTTCTTCGGAACTTCATGAAGAGCAATAATTACCTTTTTTTTTTTTTTTCTAATTAAGTTAAAAACATTATCATCTAAATCTGATTTTAGTTTTAGTCTGCTAGCATTAAAATCACTTGTTGAACTTTGAGTCTTTAAAGATGCATTTTGTAAGCAATTCAACAACTCTATTTTTGTCCTTTGAATGTAGTCAAAGGGACAACATCATGCATTGCATATTGAATTACTACTGAATTATTACTGAAAGCAATACAAACTAAATTGTAATTTCAAAGCCTGCAGCGCAAAATGATGCATTTGCGAAGCAATTAAGGATAATGAATGATTACACTTCTAGAATTTAACAAAATGTAGAGGGGGTGCACCTTAATGAAGTCCTGGTGCCCTTTGGAGAACAAGTTAGGTGCATAGCAATGGTAACATTTGTTCTGAAGTCCTTGTAATAGTTAACATCCAGAAAGGGTAGTTTTAGTAGAAACTCTAATGGCTTTATTCTCGCAGTGATTTAACTTTGAGCAAAGGTTTCATTTATAACTGTTGTGTTCCCCTAAAACATGGTCTGAAAAAGGTGTGTGGGAAGTGGTGAACTCCTTTTCTTGGGAATGCAACAATTGTAAATGAAGGTCAGGTTCTGCCAAACCTCATGTGTTTGAAAAGTGTTCAGGGATGCATTGTGATAACATTGTAAATGCAATTGTGATTTAAATGCCCATAAAACTACTACATGGGCAAAAATACACCAGGTATAAATGTAGCCCTTTTGTAGTGATATATTGTGTTGCATGTTATCCATTACAGGTCTACACCAGCACCAAGAATCGGAACACATCAAAAATATTTTGTGGTTAGAAAAGACAGGCTGTCACCAAGATGCAGAGTAAAGGCATTGAAATACATACACCATCCATCAGGGTGTAATAAATAGTGAATGGACACCTCAATTCAATGTGGGAATAAGAATTCCCAGAATCCTGATTTCATGCAGATCTCCCTGTTTTATACCAACTTTCTGCATAACAGAGAGCCACAGCTGCTGATGGACAGATAGGAAGATTCTGAATAATTGACAACCCCAGCAACAGGTTGAAAGCATAACAATGTATTCAGGGCATTTGGCTTTAAATTCCAGGCAATTCAATCCATATCCAAGACATGTTCACACCACAGTTAGCCACTAGACCACAATTTAGAATATTTTCTTCTTCTTCTGGGGCTCCTGTTAATGTGCACTCTGATGATGCACCGCTTGAGTAAACGTAGTATACTTAGTATACTTTTAGAGTGTTATGTATACTTATAGTCTACTACATTTTCTCACAAGGTGCAAAATATGATGCCTTTCACAGCATCTGAGTTAAGCGGGGATACCACAAAAGTTAAATAAGCAATCCAAGCATTCCAACTATACAACAATATTATATTGAGACACAGAAAGAGAAAACAGGACAAAAATTGCTGATACAAATGTAGATTGATTAGAAGCCATGAATTAGTTGAAATTTATACAAAGAGGAAGGTGCTCTGAAAAATGTAACTGATGTGATGTTGCTGAAAAACATGACTAAAATTAGAGTTTGGACAAGGACCATTTTTTCTTGCTGTCGATAAACCATATGACAACACACAAAAACCAACAATGAAATGATCCCACTTACAACTATTGTTTCTGTAGCCAAGCCTAATATATCTTATTCCTCCATGCCACAGAGCACCATGTCAGAAACAGAATAAAAAGAGACTTAAAGGAACCAAATCGTTGTATTGGTTGATATGTTTCCTCACAAAATATTGCTACAATATGAAATCCACAGCTGAAAATAGAACCCCAATAAATACTTCAATTCACTCCTTTTTGAGTAATATCAAAAGACGACACTGCCCTGTTTGTCTTCTGTTTTGTTTTGAAAGAAGAATGTGTTGAATGCAACCTGGCTTCAAAGATTCTTTGGTCATGAATCACAGAGCTTGTGACAGAGATCATTGACAGGCTGAGGAGTCGTAAAACATTAATAGATTAACCAGCAGCTTCTTGACTTTATTCCTCCCATGGGAGTGTCAAAGAAACCGTGTATTGCTAACTTTGTCCTTAAAATATGGACCTAAGTGCTTTTCAGTTGAATTCTTGAAAATGAATTTTGAAACGCATCACAAACCCATCTCGTTAGAATTCCGTAGCTTGACTAGACATTGAACCTCAACAGCCCGTCAAAAGCCTGCAGAGAGCAAGAAATGCCTCTGGACATAACTTAAAATTCTCTTCACAATGTATCTACGAACAGTATATCTGTCTCCTCTCTGTCTGCCTGTAACCTATAGGTCATCTATGAGTGAAGGCTAAAAATGAAATGTAACGAAAGGGCGCGTTCAACACCTCTCTGTGGTGCTGATGCAACGCTCTCCTCCTCCCCGCAGCTGTCCAAACACACTGAAGAGCACTGGAAAGGTGGAAGATGGGGAGATGGAGACAACAGACAAGTAGTAGAGGATAAAGTTAGTTAAGACACAGGCATAAAGGCTAAGGTCAAGGCAAAGGTGAAGATGATGACAGATAAATGGATAAAGGATGACAGGGGGATGAAAGGAGAGAGATGCGGTGAGAGGGAAGGTTGAAATTGACTCGAAGGGTCATCTCACGCAGGTCACATCAGGTTTGGCTGATGTTTCTATGATCTGAGCTGATGCCGTATGGGTAGAGTATGACAAAAGAGGGTCAAATTTCAGGTGTCATCTCAAACTTTAAAGGCCTTTATTTATTTTATTTTCTGAAGCAGGGATATCTGCTTCTACTGGACTGTACAGAAAGGCTTTCATTAGCAGTTCACTCATGTCTGCTTAGCAAGAGCAAAGAAGTCCAATATAAACCCCAAATTGTGGGGTCCGCAATTTTTTATTATACAATATCCAAACAACTGCAGTGATTGCAAAAACTAAGCACAATAGTTCTGCTCATTTTAGCTGAGTGACAGTAATAATGAAAATGTTGCAGTGTTCTCACCCCAGCCTCAGAGGAGGTCAATCGCAGTCACTTGAGTAAATTACACTAAATGCAGTCTAAGTGATCTAAATGAGATGAGCCAGCGTCCGGAAGACCTGAGCTTCTTTTATGGACATCAGCAGATTACCCACCACTTCATTTGACAATTTTCTCTCTTCCTTTGATTAAGTAAACTCCCTGGTGTTGTGAAGTATTCATGCAGTCCATAAACATAATTTTAGAAAAAGTTGTAGATCTGAGAGCTG